CTCTCAGAGGACTGAACCAGCAGCCAGCACCAACAGAGACACTGTGGAAAGCACCAGGACCCGGCGAGCACTTAGTGATGAGCAGTGTGCAGCCGTTATCCTTGTGCTGTTTGCTTTCTTTTCCATTTTAATTGCCTTTATAATTCAATACTTTGTAATCAAGTGAAAATACAACTTTATTTTTAATACTGTATTACATTTTATTTTGTCATGTACTAAAATTATTTCTGTATTGCTTTTCCAAAACAGTGGCATTTAGCACTGGCATTGAAACTATAGTACATCATTTTTTGCCATTTTCAGTGCTTATATTGTTAGGTAGAGGCTTGCACCTCATTAGAATGCAAGCCACAGAAATAGCAATTTTTGGTTTTTTTGTTTGGTTTGGGTATTTTTTCCCCTTGTCTTTTTTTCTTCTGTCCTTCCTTTCTTTCTTTTTCTTTTATTTCTTTTCTTTTTCACATGCCTTCTTGTCAAACAAATCTTCTAAAAGGCAAGAATACATAATGGATATTTTGACCAGTCAGCATGAGTGTAACACTGACAACCTGATCTGTTTGTTTTAAAGATTATTACCTAGTGAATGATTCAGAATGATTAAAATTTACACTAAAACATGCTATATAAAAATGTTAAAGTCTGATGCTGTGAAAGCAATCTAGTGCTATATTTCTACCTCCTCATTTGTCTTAATTATTTGGTAAGTGGGATTATGATGAATAACTGGAGGAGCTTAGCAAACAAAAACTGGGTGAAAGAATATGCATGAAAAAAAGAACCACTTGTTTGATGAATGTGGAGTTCTTTATTACACTATATTTTCATGAACTCACAGATAAATCACTTAAAGAAAGCACAGTTTACTTGGCCTAAATTAATTTAATGTTTACTCAAAAGGCACCTCTTCAGGTGTTGAGAATATGGAAAAGAACAGAGGGCTTTTAGATAGTTACTTTCTTTTAAGTAATTATAGTCAACTCTGAATTTCAAACCTATTTAATTTGGTTTTGTGAACCTTTGAACTATTTGTATATGTATAAAGACATACATGTACATATGTGGCATATAAATAAACTATACATACCAAGTGTGAAAATAACACACACACACACTCACATTCATCTAACTGATATTGGCTCATTTTTAAGAACTCCTCTACGTTTTGCTGCTTCTTCCATAACTACTGCCATCACCATCAGAATTCATAATCAAATTTAACCTTTTTGTTTGGAACACCAAATTTAAAGACAAAATTAATTTGCACCAGTAAACTTCAAGCTGCTTTCTTTCTTAAACTAATGTTTAATGTCATGTCTGTTTGGATACTTCCAAATTGTTGATTGCATGTGTTTAATGTTGCATTAGAGCACTTTGCAATTGAATAATTCATTAATGTTTTGTGAGCTTGCATTTGTGAGTTATTGGATGATCAGATTGTATTTTGACAAGAATCACATTGTACATCTTGCATAGATGTCAATGACTGCCAGTAATAATACAGTTTGTAATGAAACTTTCTAAAATTCTTGTTTTATCACATCTGTTATCTGTAAAACACTTGTAACTAGTCTTTTTAATTTATTATTTGAATTTTAGGATAGTGAATCACTAATTTTTAGTTGCTGAAGTTAGCATTTTAGTGATTACTAAGCACTTGTGTCAGTCTTTGATAAAGGACGTATGTTTTGTACTTTTGAAGATCTCTGAAGAATTTCTCTTATATTAGAATGGGCATGTGTTGTAATTGTTTTATGTCAAATGATCCATGCCGTAGAAAAAAACATTAACCTTTGTTCAAAAAAGAAATGGATAAACTTGGCCTTTCCAAGTGGTAAGAATGATCTGTCAATATAATATATTGTATGTTTACATTTTATTTAAATTTAATCTCTTATGTATAGGCTGAAAACTCCCAAAAAACAAGTGATTGTGATTGTTTTCTAGAAACTTCTTAAAAGTGCCACATTTGGCAGTACAAATGAGTTTGAGTGTAATAGCCCAGAGATTTCTATAATAGTTGAATGTCTAAAATGGTAAAATGTACCACTGTGACAGTTACAGTGGCTTATGTTTTTCATAGTAATGGAAATGAACTCCTATTTTTGATAGTAAATGTCATTTAATAGTGTATTTGCCATTTGAACCTCACTGCAAAATTAGTGCAGAAGAGAAAACAATTTTTAATGTAATCTTGATTTTACCTCATATACTGTACATTCCAAAAACTCTAAACTTTTTAAAGATTATAGATACACTACCAAACATATCACTTTAAAATTGTATAAGGTTGAACTTCATACAAGTGAAAAAATATTATCTCATAAAAATACATAAACTATGTAGCAAAAATATCTTTAAAATCCACGCAAAATAAAAGTGGTATCATTCTTTTTTGAGATATGTTTATTGTATTCATGTACATTCATTATTTACTGCCTCTTTTTTATTGTTAATCCTCACCTGATGATATTTTTTCCATTGATTTTTAGAGAAAGTAATGGGGGAGGGATGGCGGGTGGAGAAGAGAAAGAGGAAGAAACATCTATGTGAGAAAGACACATCGATTGATTGCCTCAACTTACCTGGACCAGGGCTGGGGATCAAACCTGAAACCCAGGTACTTGCTCTTGACCAGGAATCGAACCCATGACTTCAGTGCTAACCATTGAGTAATGCCAGCCAGGGCTGCTGCCTCTTTTAGAAAATGTTAAGACTCCACTCTTGCAATGGGTTTACAACAATTTTCCTACCAGTATTCAAATCTTCAACAGATTTAAGGACCTATATTCAAGGAGGTAAATACCAGTAGATTAAAGAATAAAATTAGAAGTTTTATCTTAGTGACTTAATTCTGTGCAGTTCATTAGGTACCTTGCTTCTAAGTAGCTCTCTAATTGCCACAAATGCAGGTATCACAATAAAATTTAAAATGTTAAGCTGGTGAAGAGATACTTTGTGGAGGATCAATCCACAGAAACAACTAAGTATGAGTCCAGCCTTGAAAAGAATGTGATCCTGATTTACAGTGTTGCACATCATCCTTTTGCCCCTAGATTAGAACTAGGAAATATACCCAGGTTTGAGCATTCCCAGGGTTGGTTTCCAACATTAATACCTTCTCACTATTGTAAGTTCTCTGCAGGAGGATCCCATGTATATGGTGGCTCAGTCAGGCAAACAGACTACAAAGGAATGGTTTCCCAACACCTAACATCTTGCATCCTATAACCTAACCACCTACCATCAACATAGATGATGATAATACATTATTTTAAAAAAGCTCTTTAAATACTCTTCATTTTCTTCCTGATATTCTTAAAGGGCAGAAAAGACTCCAAAAAAACAAAAGTTGACAACAAATATTTTAATAGTTGTCATTAAATTCTCACTTCAGAGTGTTGCCTTCAAATGTTTACATGTTACAAAGAGCTATTTTTCATCTTATATAATAAATAGGATGATATTTGCTATGAGAAATTTGCCAAAAGAGTTTTGAAAATAGATTTTGAACCCATTCAAATCATAATGGCTAGCATCTATTCATCACTCAGTGTGTGCTAGGCATTGTGTTCAGTGCCTGACCATCCTATATAATAAAGAGCTAATATGCAAATGGTTGTCATGCCCTCATGCCGTAACAGCTCAGACACAACACTGGGGAAAGAGGAATGGGGACCAGCCAGGCTGTGGCCCAGGAGAGGGACAAGCCGCCCACCCTGCAGTCCCGGGTGCCAGCAGCTGCAGCCCAGGCAAAGCCGCCCACCCACTGTCCCCTGCAGCTGTGGCCAGCCCGGACAAAGCTGGTCTGGGTCCTGGGTGCCTGCGACTGGCCAGAGGAGGGAATCCTAGGTCCCAGGTGCAGGGCGAGACAGAGGTGGTTAGGGGCAATCAGGCCAGTAGGGAAGCAGGGACAATCAGGCAGGCAGACAGGTGAGTGGTTAGGAGCCAGTGTTCCCGGATTGTGAGAGGCAGTCGGACATCCCCCAAGGGGTCCCGGATTGGAGAGGGTGCAGGCTGGGCTGAAGGACTCCCCACCCCCACCCTGTGCATGAATTTTGTGCACCGGGCCTCTAGTATTTACATAATCTTCCTAATTGCTCTATTAAGAATAAACACACACACAGAAGTCAAGCGCTCTGCCAACGTCATATGGCTAAAAAATAATGGAGTTGAGGTTTGAATCCAGGTGCCCCCACACTCGACCACTATCCTCTATGTGTCTCCTAGAAGTCCTGTATTCTAAGAAGAAAATGGAAATACAGTGGGGCCTTGACTTACAAGTGTCCCGACTAACGAGTTTTTCGAGATACGAGCCGTCTCTCGGCTGATATTTTGCTTTGAGTTGCGAGCTAAAATTCGGGTTATGAGCCAGCTTCAGATACCCCACCGCTAGTTGGCGCAGCGAATGTCACAGTGAACGCCACAACATCAGCCCAGCATCACGTGTCTCACTCGTTCACTTTTTGATTTGACATACGAGTAATTTGAGTTATGAGCTCCGTCACAGAACGAATTAAACTCGTAAGTCAAGGCCCCACTGTAATGGACTTTAATAATGCATTTATGATAGCATTTATCGAGCAGTTTATGTAAGCCAGATATGATGCTAAACACTTGCCCATATCCATAACAACCCACAACCCTCTAAGGCAGCGGTTCTCAACCTGTGGGTCGCCAACCTGTGAGTCGCGACCCCTTTGGGGGTCGACCGACCCTTTCACAGGGGTCGCCTAATACCACCGGAAAACACATATATAATTACATATTGTTTTTGTGATTAATCACTATGCTTTAATTATGTTCAATTTGTAATAATGAAAATACATCCTGCATATCAGATATTTACATTACGATTCATAACAGTAGCAAAGTTATAGTTATGAAGTAGCAACGAAAATAATTTTATGGTTGGGGGTCACCACAACATGAGGAACTGTATTAAAGGGTCTCGGCATTAGGAAGGTTGAGAACCACTGTATTAGAGAAAGTGAGCTAGCAAGATGGGTGGTATGACTGAAATGGAAATGATGGAGATTCCCAGATCCTTGCAATAATACAGTATAAGGGATGTCCATAGGAGCCACTGCCCTCGATGGGGAGACAACAAGATCAGATAGAAAGGAGAAACCAAGGCATGGCCAGACTCATGTGTGGCTGTAAATTTTATCAGGAGGAATGCTTGAGAGAGTGGCAGGCAGCAAAATCCTCAGGGGTGAGGGTGAGTGATGAGGGAGGGCTGGAAAATCTGAGGAAGTTGGTTTCAAGACTAAGTTTTAGGATGACTGGAACAGCAGTGATGAGGAAGGTAAATATACTAGTGGTGTTCATGCAGAGATAAATAACTCCCAGCAAAGTTGCAGAGCAATCTGTGGTGCTTCGGGTGAGGACTGCAGAGCTAGAATGACTGTGGGGGCACAGCAAGGCAGTTTGGTGGCACATCATAGGGCCTGCAGGCTTTGGAATCAGGCTGGTCAGAGTTTAAATCCCAACCCTGCATCTTGCTACCTGTGTGATCTCAAGAGAATCCCACTTTGCTCATGAGTGAAATGAGCTCCTAAGGACACGATTAAATGGAAACCACAGGGCCAAACACATCCTGAGTACTCAGTAAGTGTTAGCTATTGACATTAAGACCACGTGAATTAGCACTACTGTGAACATAAGGGTGTATATATCCTTTCTGATTGGTGTTTCAGGATTCTTAGGATATATTCCTAGAAGTGGGACCACTGGGCCAAATGGCAGTTCCATTTTTAATTTTTTGAGGAAACTCCACACTGTTTTCCATAGTGGCTGCATTTCCACCAGCAGTGTACTAGCCCCTTTCTCCCACATCCTGGACAGCACTTGTCATTTGTTAATGGTAGCCATTCTGGCAGGTGTGAGGTGATACCTGATTGTCATTTTAATTTGCATCTCTCTGATGATTAGTGACTTTGAGCATTTTTTCGTAGGTCTCTTGGCCATCTGTATGTCTTCTATGGAGAAGTGTCTATTTAGGTCCTTTGCCAATTTTTAAAAATATATTTATGTTGATTTCAGACAGGAAGCGAAAGGGAGAAGTAGAAACATCAATGATGAGAGAGGATCATTGATTGACTGCCTCCTGCACGCCCCACACTGGGAATCGAGCCCCCAAACTGGGCATCTGCCCTGACTGGGAATCCAATGTGACCTCCTGGTTCATAGGTCAATGTTTAACCACTGAGCAACTCAGGCCGGGCCCTTTGCCCATTTTTTAATTGGGTGTTTTTCTTCCCTTTGTCAAGTTGTATGAGTTCTTTATATACTTTGGAAATTAACCCCTTATCAGATGTATCATTGGCAAATATGCCCATCAGTAGATGAATGGATAAAAAAGCTATGGTACATTTACACCATGGAATACTATGCAGCTGTAAAAAAGAAGGATCAATTACCCTTTGAGAAAGCTTGGAGGAACCTGGAGAGTATTATGCTAAGTGAAATAAGCCAGTCAGAGAAAAAAAAGTATCACATGATCTTACTTATATGTGGAATCTAATGAACAAAATAAACTGACAAACAAAATAGATCCAGAGACATGAAAGCATGCAACAGACTGACGAATCTCAGAGGGAAGGTGGGGGGTGGGGGATGGGAAGAGATTAACCGAA